TGGAACTAGGACAAGTAGAATGAGAAACTGGAACTGACGAAATCTCCTGTGAGTGTCTAAGTATCCTTGGAGAACCAAGTTTTGCGCTCGTGGTCTCCAGCATTCTTATTTGAAGCCAAGAGATGCTGGAGCCCTGAATCCCTGATACTCTCTGTACTTACAGTCCTGAAGTTTCCATCCTGCCCCTGCAGTGGCTTCAGCATCAATATACTAAACGTGGGAATCCTCATTGTGCCTTTGAGTATCTTGCTAAGTTTTCCTTTCAAACTATTTCAGGTTTTCTCTATTTAAATTCCAAATTTCTATGTACTGTAAAAGTCGTCTTGCAAGGCAAGGTGCGGTAGACTGGTGAAGGAGCAGCTGTCCTGTGATTCTGTCCCACCTTTCCACAGATGACTGAATGGTGGAGATGCAATACACATTTCAGCATACAAATGTTGGTGGGCATTAAAGATTTTCTTTAGAAAGGCAGGCGTGTTGGTAGGTGTTAAAGGTTCTCCGTTAGTGATTCTCTCTCGGAATCAACCATTCTTCTGCATTCCCAAAGTATTACTTTTTCTCTATATTAATTTCATTTCATGTCACTAAGAGAAGTGCTGCCCAGTCTGGGCAAGAAATGCTTTTCTGTTCAGCACTTCCAGGGATTTGAATGACATCATTATCGAGCTGACGGCTACCCAGCATCAAATCCAGCTTTCACACTTTGATGAATATTCCCCAAAACAAGGGACATAATGTGGTTTTAAATCCCACAAAGTACTGGATTTGTCTCCTACCCACTCCTCCTTCTTGTTCCCTTTCTTTCTCTCTGTCTCTTATTTCCTTGGGTTGTAGCCATATTGAATGGAGGCCATCTTCCCTTTTGGCCTGAGAACTGCACTGGAAATATTTGAACTTCATATACAGCTCCAGTACATTTTAAATGTTTTATCATGGAAATTCAAGGCCACATGAAAGTGAAATTAACTGAATGTTTATCTCAGTAAATAAAATAAAATAGGAAATAGATAAGGAGAGAAATGTAAGAAATATTAAACAGAGGTACTTTACATCTCCCTTAGGCTAGCCTGGCAAATGTCTTTTTAATCTGTATTTCATGACAACACTTGCAACTTCAAGTATTTTTAAGAGTCAGGAGGCTGAGCTCTGTTGTGCAGGATCATGCTGGCATGAATTGCTGGAACCGACTTGCCCATCCAAGGTGTAGAAGAGGAGTTACTACATTTCTGTTGGGAAAACTGGCACAGGTGGTGGGGGAGGGTGTTCTTCCTCCTTTGTTCTGACTGACCCTTTTTTCTTGCCCTTTACGTTTGCTCCCTGGGCACTCGGCCATGTCGGCTTCCTTAGCCCGACTCCAGCCCCAGTCTTGACGACTGCATTTAGGGTTTGTAGTTATTCCCTTTTCCTGCCAACCATTGCAACTCCTTTCTCCTTCAATAGCTGCTTGCTGTCACTGAGCTAACTCCAGGGACTGAATTTCTGCATACTAACAGACCTGTGCCTTTACTGTCGGGTCAGAATGACCTATTCATGGACCAAATTGCCCTTCTGAAACATATTCTTTCTGTCTTTCTTCCTGCTTCTCTCCAAGGTAGCAGGTTTCCTTATGCACCATCTAGTAGGATCCTGTGTCACAGTAAGAGAATGGTCTGCCTGGTTCAGGATCTTCTGTCTTAGCTAGATCCAGGGGTTTCCTGGTCAGTCATGGTGGTCTTCTGATTTCTTCTGTAGAAATGGATGGGAGATGTAAGATGATGTGGAGAGTTCCAGAAAAAGGGTTCATGTCTCTTGTATTTTGCCGAGATTTCTTCGGTTTTTTTATAGGATGGGATTTAATGAATGGTATAGGTAGTAGTGACATGCAGACCTCTTTAGTTTCTCCCACTCCTTTCTTTCTCTCGGTGAAGGAGCACACTTGCTGAAGACTAATTTCAGTATTGAATATTGAGTAATTGACTAATTGAGTAGTGACTAATTTTGGTATTGAGTAATGGGTATTGAGGACCTTCACTGCTGCCTTGCGTTCTGGAGAGGGTATCTTTTTCCCTACGGAATATTCATGTTTACTACCTGCCCATCTGACCTGAGGGTTAGAACCCGATGTTTTACCTCCTAGCGAAGACAAACACTGGCTGTTTCAAAAGGAAGGGTAGTCCATTCTCCGTGTCCTATTTTCCTATTTTCTTTGAGTCTGCCTCTGGTGATCATGTTGTCTGCAACCCTGAGCAGTTTCCTTGTTACTATGTCACCTGAGCTAATGTGATGACTTCCAGTGTTCTGGCTTAATCTACCCTCCTGATTCACAAGTAGTCTGTGAATACACTTTACTCCCACTGGATCTTCCATGCTTTCCAACTACCTTTCTAAGCTTCGGTTCTGAAAAGAACGTCATGTTATTAGGATGCAAAATTATGTGACTGGAAGTTGCATATTTGTATTGCTCCACAGAAAGCAGAGTACTCTTCATGACTCTGATACTGCCAGTGTCCAGGGCAGTGTCTGGAAGCTGCTAAGTGTCACTATCCTCACCTCTGGGTGGTTTTAGTCAATAGGAGCATTCTTTTGATTAAATGTTTGTCTTGAGCTATATTTATTGGTTGAGAACATCATTCAGTTTTGTTTACAGCTTCTGAGAAGAACTTCTGTTGCTTGACTGATCTGCCATCAAACTCCAGAAAGAGCATATGGATTAGAAAATCGAGTTAGTTGCTTTTTATTAAAAAACAAAACAAAACAAAAAAAAACAACCAAAAAAAATGAAACACAAAACAGAAGAAGAGAGGGAAAAAAAAAAAGGGGCTGAGATAATTAAGCAGCTCAGTAAAACAATCATAATTTTCTAAGTGTTTGGCTGAGCTCAGCCAGCTCATTTCTGATGTGTGTTCTGGCCTCTTCGGTAGTTCTTCCAAACCTGGCATTTCTGATTCCCTATCTGCCCCTCCTTTCCCTCCCACATGCTTGACCTCCAAAAGCATTCCTTTGCTCCTCTTACATGTCGTTTCACTCTCCCTCTCCTCCCAAGAATGTGATCCTGGCCTGAGCTTTCTAATTGTGTGTAGCAAGGATAAAACTCCTTGCCTTGCTTGGCTGCCCCCTTGTTTGGAAACTCACCCTAAACATTTCCACATGGTTTGCACTCTTTTTGCACAGCTTTTTTTTTTTTTCCTTTAAACGTTTTCTTGTTTAAAACAAAAATCCCTCCTGCTTCTTCTACCTTGGGCTGCTGGCACTGACCTTGCCTTGTTACTATTTGCATTTCTTTTGTACCTTTTTGCAGCTGAAATCTCTATGGGCTTTTAAATCTGTCAGCAGTCGCTACCAGGCTCGGTGTGCAATTTAGCTCACTGTTTTCACAAGTTTCCCAACCCTGAATGCTTTCCAAATGAGCCATTGTTGGGTTGAGTTAAAGAGGTATTGTCTCTGCTTGGGCTAGGTTAGCATGGGTGCCAGGATATGCATGTGCAGTATTCTTAGTGCTGCAATGTCATCTTGATATTGGACCACTGGATGCTTCCTTCACCAAACATTTTCAAATATATAGGAAAAAGAAAACTCTGACAAAACTGATTCATTGAAACGCTATTGGAAGCTTGTCTTATATTGCCGAAACTCTCATTTCGACATCTTCCTCTGTACCTGCCCATGCAAGCTGCTTTTTATGAAGAACATTCTTCTTTGTTTAATTCTCATTAGCACCTGAAACTGGCAGCTATGATTGGAGCTCTGTTCTGGTCAGTGCTGAATAAACACAGATCGAGTACAGTCTCTGCTTTGATGATTTTAGAAAAAAAAGAAGAGAAGCTAAAGCTGGAGGATTTGGTAGTGTATCCAGAGGGAACTTGTGACACAGTTAGGAGTCAGTTCCAGATCACAGCATTAACCTTCATTTTACAAACGTACGGCTGGCTAGACTCTAAAACAGTCTGCTCCACTGAACAAAAGGAAGAGTCTTATGAGGAGAGGCTAAGGGAGCTGGGGTTGTTTATCCTAGAGAAGAGGAGACTCAGGGGGGATCTCATCACTCTCTACAGCTACCTGAAGGGAAGTTGTAGTGGGGGTTGGGCTCATCTCCCAGGCAACTAGTGGCAGGACGAGAGGTTATGGCCAGTAAGTGCTTCAGGGAAGGTTTAGGTTGGATCTCAGGAAGCACTTCCTCACGGAGAGGGTGCTCAGGCACTGGAATGCACTGCCCAGGGAAGTGGTGGAGTCACCGTCTCTGGAGGGGTTTAAGGAGAGGCGGGATGTAGCACTTAGTTCCATGGTCTGGCCGATATGGTGGTGTTGGATCATAGGCTGGACTTGATGATCTCAGAGGGCTTTTCCAGCCTCAATAATTCTGTGATTCTGTGAACATACTTTTCATCGCAGAGATTGTATTTGCCAGTCTGTTCAACCTTATGTGACACTGTGTGGAGTTATGTCCTTTATAACTGAGATGCTGATTGTTTTTTTGGTGGGGACTGTGTGATTCAGAGCACAACCATCTGGACAAACATTTCAACCTGTAGGTTGCTGTTGACAGTACTGCCACTAGACAACTGTCTCATTACTTTTGTTTAAAAAGTGCAGTGATTTCATGGTTCCGTGGAAGACCAAGCTGGTACTGCAGGGCAGGAAAAAGGTGTATTGAATTTTCAGCCTTTCTCCAAGTTGTAAGGAGTGCTTGTGTTGCATTAGCCGATGTTTTGAGTTATTATCTTGATGCCTTTTATGTGATGTTTCCTAACCCTTGATTAGTCCATTAGTAATGGAAGTTTGATGTGGGAATTGTTCAGGCTGCCTGTCTTCATGGGTTTTGCTCTGACAGGGAGAACTCACAATAGTAAGGTAAAAATTATGAAACCAATAATCTTTGGAGTCTTCGAGAGCCACTAAGTCGTCTGCCTTTTATTGAAAGCTAGTCAATATACCTGGTCCAGATTCATCTCAGCCTATTAGATGTTAATGATGCAGGAGTTGACTGTTTTTTTTCTCCTGTTTTTCTTTTTCACAATCTCCAGGATGAATTGGATCTCACAGACAAGAACAGAGAGGCTATGTTTGCACTCCCTCCAGAGAAGAAGTGGCAGATCTACTGCAGCAAAAAGAAGGTACTACTGTTGTTCTGGTTGAAGTAGCTCACCAATAAATGCTGTGTGCATGTACATAGTTACTGATATGCATCTAGATTTGAACTATGTGTTTATCTGCTGTTCACTCAGGAATGTGATTAAGTGATGTAAGGATTTTTATCAGCATGAATATGGCGCAGCTTTCTTATAATGTATGCATGTGTGATTTCTGAAGAGAATGTTAAGTGAAAATCATACATTGTTCCATTTTGAGTCTTTTACATGTTTGTTTTTGAGTTGTTTCTTTTTTAAGCTGGAAGAAAAGCTATCACAGAGACGTATTAAGGATTTTTCTTAAAAAATTGTAGATTGCTTAGAGTAGAAAATGTATTACTGAATTATTTCAGGATGTTTTCAAATATCTGTAAAACACATAATAATAGTACATAATAAAAATTGATAGTTCAGGGTAGTTCAAGGTCTTCCAGAGCTTGTAGGAAATGTTCTGTATTGCACTGGAAAATGAGGAAGACCTGTTCCTATCAATTTCTGTATAATGCTTCTACATTCAAGGTCTTCAGATATCTGACACACTGGCGAGAGAGGCAGTAAACCAGAGGTTGCTATATAACACTCGGTATTTTGTCTCTGCCAGAACGACAGCCAGATGAATTGACAAGTTTTATGACTGTTATGGAACTTGTAAAGAGGAATTCCTGCAGGAGTGTTGTAGTGGAGAGGTTTTGTTGCTCCAGGAAGGAAACATAGTCAGAAACAAAGATAGCCCTAGTAGCGTGTATTCATTAACAGTAAACATTAGGAAAAAAGGCGTGGTGAGTTTGCTGGTTAGCTTTGTTTCCCAAAAGTGCGAGTCATGCTATCAGAGCATTAGTCTTTATGTGTAAGTCTGTATAACAGAAGCCGAAAGTGGAGGTTTAGATTTCAATACTGAAGATGGCAGACTGAAACTCTAATGATGGTCCTTCTGGGGTTGTGCTTGCTGCCTTTCTTTCCTCAAGGTGGGGAAAAAAACTAGCTTTCTTACCATATAATTGAAGAAAACCCCAGTCAAACCAATCAGATGGCTGCTGCGCATGTGTGTTACTTTTGGTTGAAATGCATCACACAGGGATGTTAATAGTGACAAATTAGTTACAGTGCCTCTGAGCTAGCAATAATTCAGGAAGTGCGTAAGAACAGTCTAGGCTCAGTTGTCTTTTACTGTCTCTTCATTCTTTCTGCTGGTACACAGAGCTTGCAAGTGGAGGGAAGGTGCAGGCTGCTGTGATTAATGTCTGTTTAACATTTTTGCTGGCTGGCTCAGCTGTCTTTTTCAGCTCTGGTGGGAGAGGATCTATTTGTAGTCATCTTAGAGAACCACACATTCCACCTCCTGGACCAGTCAGCTTTGGCAGGAAGGTCAGGCTTTAATGTATTTAATATGTTAGTTGTATTCACTTTTTTTTTTTTTTTAAATAAGCAGTGGATTTGATGTAAGAATCTCAAAAACCTCCAGAGTTAAAGAAGCTGCATACTGCAAAATCTTTATAATGCATTTGCAGTGAGTGCAACCTCAGTTAGTGGAACTCCAGCTATCCAAAATGATGTGCTAACTGCAACAGAATACTGTTGCCAGATGTCTGTTCATTACATTGTAGGTACTTTCAATTACTTGAAACTTAACTGTCCAATGTTATTCATTGTTTCCCTCAATCTGTAATCCTGATGATATACCTCTCTCACTAGCCTACTACCTAATCCACATATCATCATTGTTTTACAGTGACAGAGAAGCTTGTGGCAGGCTTCGCTTTAGAGGAAAGCTATCTTTTCCCTGAAGGATTTGTAATCTTACTTTAGCCACAGAGGACCCAGTTCCTCACTTGGCAGAAAGTTATCAGCAGTCTAGGACAAACCCCCAAAGAGCTCTATCTTTGCTGATGCTGGGTTCTTTGAGTTTCCTGGGAGGTGAGGGCTTTATGCTTCGTAATGTGGCAAGTGAAAACACTATGAACTAGAAGGTCAAGAAGTGCAGTTTGAGGAAACTGTTCACAACCATTAAATTTCAAATGCCTTTCCTAGTCTAAAAGTAATAGAAGGTCAGAGCTTCCTAATTTGCTTCAGGGTGGTGAGACTAATGAACTGTCTAAAGAAAACAAGTGTCACTTGCAAAAATGAATATTGGTAATTGTTGTAGGCACACTGTTCATTTATCTTGGCAGTTAGACTTTGGATATAATTGTCTATACTACTTATTCCAAATGTGGTAGCAGAAAGTCACTGCTGTATCAAAAAACTCATTCCACCTGTTTCTAATACCAAGCCTTTCTGAAGAAATGGGGGAAGACATGTATGTCTGTGCATTTAAAGTTATATGCCAGGGGCACAGCATGCCAGTCAACATACCACAGTACTCAAAGGAGATTCAGCTCTGGATTGAAATTTCAGGGTTGTAGGTGCTATCTATGGAGGAGCGTTCACACAGTATTATGCAGCTGTGCTTGCTTTGGTCCCTTTTGGCCATTCTAGGTTCATATCTGGAACCATCAGTACTAAAACCAAATCACTGATGATGTGATCTAAAAGAGTAGCTTCAGCTACCAGCTATAGTGAATGCTTCACTCATTTGTGGAGGAGGTGTCTACAAAGAGTAAAGGCTGCTCTGTTGGAAAACATTAATGTGTTCTCAGTCTCAGCTGTCCCCTACCTTGCCATTAATCAGTACAGTGTGGACAATGAGAGATACAATTGTCTTCGTTTCCATCAGAAGAATCACTAATCAGTCACTACTGATGGCACCCTGACCCTCTGCCCAAAACAGCAGTACTACATGTTTTAGATTGCTTCTTTCTCTGTTGTATGAGCATCCCCTAATACCGGATTGAGTTATAAGTAAACATATGTAGACAGAATGCAAATGATGACATCCTCCCCCAGTTCAGGTACTTAATTCTGATTTTGTTTAGGGTAAGCTTCATGTCTCACCATTAGCTGAAATTTAGACTTACATAAAACATATAATCCACTTCCGTAGTTCCTTCCTGTAAAAATATCTCTAGGTTTCCTACTAACTACTATGTTTTGCAGAAATTAGATCAAGCACTAGATCATGTTTTCACATGTATTTATTTGTAAATTCCTGATGTCAGGATTTAGAAAACTGCTGTTAATTCAGTGCTGCATTACTAGGAGCTGGTACTGAACTACATAATCTCATGAAATTCTGATTGAATAATGACATGGAAAGACACAGTTGCCAGCTCAATTATTTCACCTGTATACGACATATTGGGATATCAAAAAATGCAAGTATTACCCTGCTTTGGCACACATTGCTTTGGATGTAGTATACGTTTCTAAGAGTGAGGCCTCATTGTGCAGGCAATAGCTTATTGCCTTTTGTACAATCCTACAAACTCTTAGACTTATTACTATTGGGAAGCAAGTAGTTTTCTTTTTATGGCATTTCCTGCCTCTGGAGTCTAATTTGTGAGCCTTCAGTTGAGCATATTTTAGTAGGAAGCAGATTCCAACAAGGTAGGTTTTGTTGTTTGATTTTTTTACTTCTGTATTTCTTTGAGGGAAAATATTGGTACCAAATCTCTTACAAAGCCCAGTCAAACTGGACTAGCTGTATTATATGGCTTCGCTCCAAACAAACAAAACCAATAAAAATCTCAAGTCTCCTGTCATGAGCTCTCCTAGATATTTCAGGGTTATTTCATACTCTTCTGATTTTAGCTGTGCCTTAGAAGAGCTTCTTTGAGTTGATTGTGCTTTACCTACTCAAATTCAAGTAGTGAAGCAATAATCTGCACACTGCAACTTTCTGGAAAAGGGCATTTGTGGCATCTGAAGAAAGAGTACATACTTATCCTCAAACTGATTATATTGTTCCTATTATGGGAAACAGATCTAGAGAAAGGCTTCTCCACAACAGCAAAATAAACTTTAAAAGTTCTCAGGAAATTTTATCTGAACAGTACACTGTAACAGCCAATATGCAGAAAAGAGAACTTCCTTGTGATACTAAATCCTGCAATTATTTTTTAATAGCTGTCAGTTACATTTTTCATCTACCTGATGATCTACATTTCTGTATAATTTCAAAGAACTTCTCATTAGTATGTTTATATATAAACCTTTTCTTTCTTCCTGAAAGAGAGTAGCAAAGTAGCCATGCCTTCTCATACCTTTTCCCTGTGCTGTATACACATGCCTTTTCCTCCTTTTTCATTTTTTTTGCCATTTTCCAGGACACAATCTTAAAAGTTTGAATATGTTTACAGTTTAAGCACCGTTAATTCTTTTTCCTTCTTGCAGCTATCTGTCTTCTCTAAGGTATTCTTGTAGGAACGGATTTTGTGTTGGTCTCTAAACTTGTGAGAGCTCACTGCAACGAGCAGGAAGAGTGGAGTGGAAGGCACTTTTGTGCATTATACAACCAATAAGGAGTACAGGTTGTTTAGACTGAGGTCACAGGTCAATGCTGAAAGCAGTGAAGCTGCAGTCCAGGTGCAGAGTGCCCTCCTTGCCCTACTAGAGGTTTACACCTTTCCTACAAAGCAGCAGCAGATACTGCTGCTTCACCTTATGTTTTGTTCCCTTTCCCACATTAGACTTCCCAGTGCCTGGGAAAGTCTGTTAGCCAGACTTTAGTCATTTTATTGCAGTCTTTATGCCATTTGCAGCTCAATTTCTCCAGCTCCCACTTTGGATCGATTCTGGCTGTCTAGTGTTAATGAAGGTAATGTCTACATGTTAGGTTTGGTTGTTTGTTTTTTTTGTTCTTTGAGAGTTTCTCTTTGAGCTTTGCCCTTGAAGTTTGCATTGTCAGCAAAATGTCACCAAAAAAAGGATAGCTTGACATTGTGTAGCTGCATATAGAGTAAGATACTTATGTCTTCCACTGCCATGCCAATGCCTGCCTTCAGATTCTTGCAGGGCTCTAAGCAAAATTTCCAGTCCAAACCCAGGCTGTGTTATAAATCCAGGCTATAAATACTGCATGAAATCCAGCCACAGTTCCAGCTTCCATA